CCATCGGATTTCCATTTCGAGGTCGTTTTCCCACTGTTCCGACTACGGACCACTTTTCAACACTTAAGCTCTCATTTAGGGACTAAGTGTCCCAAAACTCGCTGAAACCCAACACCAAACGTCCCGGCAAACCAGACTAGCAGAAATGAACTTAAGGGAAGCAGTTAATAGGGGATCGAGGCGTTAATTCTTAAGACGACCGGCCAGGTCGTCACAGCCCACATCCCCTTGCTAAAGCACTAGGTTGACTGTAAGTGTCTCGTACATTCTTCAAAATAGCTCCAACTTCTGCAAATTTTGATTTGAGTAAAGCATAAAATAAATTCTAGTCTTATAAAAAACATAAAATAAATAATTAAAACTTGTGACCTTGCATCATTTCAGCTTCTTGAGTGAAGGGAATGTCGTCTTCCATCGTATCAAAACCAGGAGGCATGAGATTATTACAACTATGTGCTAGCTTATTCTGCTTAGAAGCCCTTGAGTTGTAATTTTTAATCTCGCCAATCAGATTTTTTTTTAAAACATTTATTTTTGCTGAGCCTAAAGATCGAAAGCTTTTCCCTCGTCCCTTTGCTAAAGCTGCAGGTTGAATGTATGCATGATGTATATTCTTCAAAGCTGCTCCTGTTTCTGCAAATTTTGATTTATGTGAAACATAATACCAATACCGGTCCAATAAGAAACAAAACAAAACAAAAAATTATAACTTAAGAGACCTTGTATCGCATCAGGGACTTGAGCGAGGGGAGCATCATCTTCCATCAAAGCGAAACCAGGGGGCACAAGATTATTAGTATGTGCAAGCTTATTCTACTCAAAAGCTGTTGAATTATGATTTTTATTTTCTCCAATCAGACTTCTCTTTCCAATACTTGTTTTTACAGAGCCCAAAGATCCAAAGTTGTGTCCTCTTCCCCTTGCTTAAGCACCGGGTTGAATATATGCATGATGTACATTCTTTGAAGTTGCTCCCATTTCAGACTTCTGAAATTTTAATGGATTCATGGCAACCTAAAATAAGATAAAAGTATGGAGTAACTGTTAGATGAGAAAGATAAAAATCATTATGATGTGTAATAAAGTTATTTATCCACACAAAATTTCCCGTGCCAATATTACTGATAAAAGAATTAACTTGTGTTAGAATTAGAAAACACGAACAAAATACAACAAGGCTAAACTTGTAAAACCACATAGAGACCAAGCATATGGCAGCTGCTCCAAGTCCTTCCAGAGACTTATTCACTTGCAATCAGTTCCAATGTAAAACATAACCATGATTATATGATTTCCAAAGAGTGCAACCGAGAAGCTGTATAGACAAGTTTATATTTGCACTCCACAACAGTGAACTACCTTTTAAACACATCTAAACCAAGACAACTACCTGCATACCATTAGGTTTATACATTATAGAAAGTTATCTTTACTTCGGTAGTTAGCCACTAGCAGTGGTACTTTCTACAGTTAAATGCGAATAGAGATATCTGTTACAAGTGATTTAGCATACATCACCTTGAGGCATAATGTGGTAGGTGACCAGTTAAGAAACTATTATAAATGCTTGCACTAGATTTTTTGAAGGAACTATGCTCAGCAATTGCCAACTAAAGTATTTTCAATTCTTTTTTCCACTTTCCAGCAGCAGTAAAACATAAGAGATTAATTCTAGAAGTAGTTTTAACATTGATAATAGTTAATGAGCATACTTGACAGTATGAAACGATAATGGCAGTTAAAAGAATGATCCTATGAAGTTGACATTCATTCTTAACCACCAAACTCGAAAATAAGCACAATAAAACCAAAGAGAAAGCCAAACGATTTTTGGGAAGCATCCCATGATGGATAGGAGAAAAATGACATCGAACAGGTGGTCCCCGAAGGTCATAGTAAGACAGGGGTCCGGCTAGAGTATCCTAAAAAGTGTATTATCCAAACAGGCATGACTATAAAACTATGATATATAAGTGGAAGTATTACTGATAAAATAAGAACTCATTCTACAGCAACTGAGATGATGGAGGTAATAGCACATAACAGACTGTCTATATGCATTTGTCCTGCCACTTGCTAAGAGATGGACGAACAATGTTTCCATAAACTTTTTCGCCGGCTGAACGAGTTCCGATATTAAATGTGGGTAAGGAACTCTGACCCCGCCCTTGAAGCAGTTAGCTTTCCGATTTCGAATGAAACATGTAAGGCCAGCTTGCACAATACAACAATCTACTAAAGTTGAAAAATTCATTTGTACAAAAGCTATCCCATAGAACCTCGAATGGGATACCCAAGTAGAGAATTTGACCATTCAATGTGTACGAACTATTGAAGGTTTACTGCCGTGGGGGAATGAATTGATGCCAAAACAAAGCCAACCCAGTGTTCTAGATAATGAATAATCATTAAAATCAAAGGCAGCGACTTTATGTTGTGTGTTGTATACCAGGGGGCATTTGGAGAACTTGAAAGACTATTAAAAACAAGATTTTATCCTTCCTAACCTACTTATAACTTAGAATTCAAGAGCAGAAAACTTTATCTGACTCAAAAACATAGCACAATAAGTTTCACCTGGAGCAACATCATAGGACTGCTGGAAAGCAACCAATGAAAGAGAAAACAATCATTAGCAGCACAAAATGTTTAACACTGATAAGATATGATCAAAGAAAATCCATGAACTTATTCATACTAATTATTAGCTCCAGTTATCCTAGAAAAGCGAGAAGCAAGAGGCCTAAGGAAATAAATATTAACAACATGCATGATAAAGGTCAAAAACCTTCATAAGTTCTTTTTCTTTTCATTTGTGTAGAATTATCCAAATTATCCAAATCGTCATCCTTTTCTTGCAAAATGACAAAAGTATCACGAGATAGAACTTTTCTTGCAACATGCCAGCCTTTATTTGAAGGATCTTCGACATAAAATACTTGTAATGCTTGGTTTGCTAATACAAATGGCTCATTAGTTTTCAATAATCGCTGACGGTTAACACTCACAAAGCCATATTCATCCATTTTAACTCCCTTTTCTTGGTCATACACATCAAACCACTTACATCTAAACAAGATCACTCTTTTTCCTCCAATAAATTACAATTCAAGAATCTCAGTAAGTTCTCCATAATAATCAATATTTTTATTCTCTTCATCTGTCTCACCAACTACAACCACCCCGTAGTTTTGAGTCCTCAAACCCCTGTCATACTCTTCCACATGAAAACTATATCCATTAGTAACGTAACCTTTAAGACGTCTCATATATGGCAGGGGACCACGTGACAAAGTGAGCAAATCTTCCATTTTCTTGCTGTTATCACATTTGTACAATTCAACAACCTATCAAAATCATTTTATATAATTTAATTAGAAAATACTACATAAATATTATGGTTAAGAAAATAACAATAGCATATAACTAGTACTAACCTTTTTTTTAAATCAGCTAATGAACTCCCTATCGGAGTGTTTTTGAGAGGTATCACCTGGACTTTGTGAAAACTCTCTACAAAAAATTACAGAATAATATGTCATTTTAATTGAAATCATGGATAACATACAATCAAATTATTATGTCGAGTCAATACTTACTCGAGAAATGGTTGAATTTCATCACAAATCTTCAAAATATAAATATGTGCTTGCTCTAATTCATCTGGATTAAGTTTGTCTATTTTTCCAGCTCTTAATTCTTTTCCACGTTGACAAAAAACTGTTAAACCTCCATCAGATTCAATAATACCACCATCATAATTCCGCTCAAGGCGATTAAATTTTGTTTCCATTGTATGCAAATACCTTGAACATAAAGTTAAACATTAAGTTGCCAAATATCCCTCCGCGATAGAACCTTCTGGGCAAGCCCTATTACCAACTAAAGATTTCAAAAAGAAGAGCCATCGCTCCACTGGATATATCCATCTATATTGAATAGGTCCAGCAATCATAGCCTCATTAGCTAAATGGATCGGCAAGTGCACCATCACATCAAAAAATGAAGGAGGGAATACCTTTTCTAATTTGCACAGAGTTATAGGAATTTGAGTTGTTATTTGTTCTAACTCTTCCATTCTTAAACATTTTGCTCCAAGCAAGTTGAAAAATAAAGACAACTCAATAAGAGGTTCACATACAGATTTGCAAAGCATACCACGTATAGCAAGTGGAAGTAAATGTTGTAGAAGAACATGACAATCATGACTTTTTAGGCCTGAAATTTTGCGATCTTTAGTGTTAACACACTGAGATATATTTGATGAATATCCATCTGGAACCTTTAAGTTCTTTAGGAATCTGAAAAATATATTCTTCTCTTCAGGAGATAACGTATAACATATTGTCGGTAGCTCATATTTATCCTCATTTATAATTGGATGCAATTCTTTCCTTATGTTCATTGCTTGCAAATCCAATCGAGCTTTTATGGTATCTTTAGTTTTTCCTTTGACATTTAAGATTGTCCCCAAAATATTGTCACATATATTTTTCTCGATATGCATCACATCTAAATTATGTCGCAACAATAAAGTTTTCCAATAGGGAAGATCAAAGAAAATACTCTTCTTATTCCAATTGTCACCCCTACTCTCATGTGATATTTTAGGCTTCTTCTTTGGATCCTTTGTTAGTGGTAAACCATCTAAGTCAGCCACTTGATCAAGTATATCCTCACCCGATAAAATTTGGGTGGTAGTCTTCGCTCCTTAGTGCCATCAAATGACTGTTTATCATTTCTCCATTTGTGATTAAGAGGAAGAAAGCGTCTATAACCCATATAACACTGTTTTTTACCATTTTCTAACTTGATTGAGGATGTTTCTTTGTTGTAACATGGGCAAGCTAAATTTCCTTTTGTACTCCATCCAGATAAATTTGCATAGGCCGGAAAATCATAAATGGTCCATAATAGAGCTGCATGCAATATAAAGTTTTGTTTGGTTGACGCATCAAAGGTCTCCACTCCAGTTTTCCATAATTCCTTTAATTCATCCATCAAAGGCTGAAGATAACATCAATTGCATCTCCCGGACATTCAGGACCAGGAATAAGCATCGACAAAATAAAATTCTCTTGCTTCATACATAGCCAAGGCGGTAAATTATAAGGAATAAGTACAATATGCCAAATGCTGTAAGGGGTTCTAGAACTTCCAAATGGTTGAAAACCATCACTAGCATGTCCAAGTTGAACATTACGAGGTTCAGCGACGAAAGACTGGTGAAGTTCATCAAACTTTTTCCATTCCATTGAGTCAGCTGGGTGCCTCATCACTCCATCGTCAACTCTTTTTGCATGATGCCATGTCATTAAAGATGATATCTTTGAGGACATAAACAATCTTTGGAGTCTTGGCTTTAAGGGAAAATAACGTAAAATCTTGTGCGCTATCTTTTTTCCAGTCATAAATTTAGTTTCTCCACTATGTTTATCCTCTTTCCATTTAGATGCTCCACAAACATTGCAAGATTCATGAAACTTGTCATCCTTCCAATATAATATGCAATTTTTCTTACACGCATCAATATTCTTATAAGAAAGTCCAAGATCCCGAATTATCTTCTTTGCCTCATAATATGAATCTGGCAAGTTTGATTCAGCAGGCAATAGATCTTCCTTAAACATCTTCAACAACATTGTAAATGACTCATTACTCCAACGCCCAATACTTTTGATATGAAGCAATTTAACCATAGTAGAAAGTTTAGAAACTTTTAAATTTTGGTACAATGGTTGCTCAATATCCTTTAAAAGCCTATAGAATTTTTTTGCTTCAAGATTTGGTTCCTCCTCAAGAAAATTATCACCATCAGTGTTCGTATTGTCTGCATCAAAATTAGGGTATAAATCTCTTAGAATCGTATGTATTTCATCCTCACCATCAGCTTCTTCAGTTTCATCATCTTCTACATCTTCTGAGTTTGATTGTGGCTCACCTAACTTTTCCCCGTGATGATACCAAAAAGTATAATTTTGAAATATTAAATGTGGCTTAACCATCTCACGTGTTCCCGAAGATGTATTACAACATTTGATACATGGACAACGTATTACACGCGCTTCACTTAATCTTGTAAAAGCAAAATCCAAAAAATTGTCCACCCCAAGCTCGTAAGCATTAGCAAGTCGGTCATGGATATGTTCCATCCATTTCTTATCAGGTGCCATAATCTGTTGCATGTGTAATATATATGTATATATATGATTAAAATAATGTATTAGCCAGAAGTAGACATTTATTCAACAAGCCAACAAATAAGCAAACACTTCAACTTGTATGTAGTACAAATGTATACTAAAGCAAAATCGATAATAAATCATCGCATTGTCTTTTAAATGCCTAATTCAGATCCATTTACAAGTCTACAGTAACAATAATATAGACACGGTATAATTGAAAGGTGATACAAGCAGGAGAAATATTGAGTGTTTACTTCATTTTATCAATTCACTAAGGCACAATGACTTAATCATTTCATGAATATAAGTTGCTAAACATGTAGATATGTCCATGACAATTGTCGACAGTATAGTTCAACGTACAAAGTGCATATACAAACTGTATTAGACTACTTACGAATCTGCACAGATTTGAATGACTTAAAGAACTCAGATCTTTGTACTCGTTGAAAGTGACTATTACTGTTGCTCTTGTTGAAGTTTGAAAAATATTGAAAACATCCAAAAAATGTAAGAGCAGTGACACAGAAAGGTACAGAGACAATACATGAGCCAACGCAATAAGTACGTACACAAGCTCTATATCTTTGTAATTTTAAAAATCAGCATGTTTTGCAAGCTGTGGATCAAATAGACAATCCTTTTGGACAATATACGGAAACATATAATACGTATAATATTCAAAACTTTCTCCTCCACATTCTTCGGTGTTTCGATAGAAGGGCTACAGGGACGTAACCAAAATATTAAAAAAGAAACCTTTATCAGGAGAACACACTAGAAAGCATTCCTCTAATTTTCACTCATTCCTTCCTATTAAACATGACACATTTGTGTTTTCATAATTCCAAAGGAACATATCATATAATGGTTTGAACAAACTTGTAAGATAACGATATTCTACACATTTAACAAGTTCTAAATTAGTCAGTCTATAAGTTGTTTAAAAAAGAAAAGAATGGGGGATAGGAGTAGTGTTTAATTTTTATTTGTGAGATGAAAGGATTTTTCATGGGTTAGTTACCAATCTGGTTACTCAGTTTTAGAGTGAATCAACTCTGTCTTTATATACATAAATTTCTTCTTTCTAATTTTCCCTTATCCCATGTGACCCAATTGTAGAAAGCCATTTCCCTTTACAAGAAGAGGAGACAAGAAATTAAACTCGTAAACGATATGAAATGTTCGTTTTCTGGTGGGCTAGGTGAGTCCTATCCAGCACCTAAATTAGAGAATTCAAGTTCAGATTATGTTAAAGTTGAGGAGACTTCTCCAGCGGATAATGCGCTAGCAGAAGATGGTGCTAAAGGGGTTAATCTCCCTGTTAGTTCTGAGGAAGTTGTAGGGCTTTCACAAACCACCACCTGTACATAAATGCTTTCCTATCAACCAATTTTACGGGCTAATTTGAGCAATCGCTTTAGTATTTTGATTCTAACACTATATTGTAAATCGAAGTAGTTCATCAATCTCTATACTCTTTAATCATTTCCGAGAATGAGACGGGGGAGTAGCATATTCAACTTAACCAATTCAACAAGATACCGAATGATATAAGGAAATGGAAAAATAAACTACTATTGATTCTTTAAACTAGAAAATTCACAAAATGGCTACTTATTTTAGCAAAACCTTTTAAATGTTTCCCTAATCACATTGCCACCAGTTAACTAGACAAGCCAATCAAAGTTTTCACACGGTCGGCTAAGGTCAGCCCATTATTAATAGATTTTGAGATACTGAAACTACAATCAGAAGCATAAATTTAGTGTCTTTTGCAGAATGTAAGTCAAAGCAGAGGTACTACAAGAAGCCTCGCCATAAAGGGCGTCAATGTAACTATAAATATGGAAAAAAATTCACAATAGTTATTACTACAAGTTTAGCGACATAGATTCACCATTATAACTTGGCGGACTAAAATAGGGGGAGTATAGATAGAGTGACGGAGAGAGAACAGATGGAGGAGATCGGAAAAGAAGCCAACAAAAACAGACGAAAAAGCAAAAAATCATCTTAATACCATCCAAGCCCATCGTTACCCTCTCTCAAAATCCCAACAGCTAATTTCATTTTTTTTCTTCATATCGATTTATAAACTCATCGCAAAACCAGCTATTTTTCTGGACAAAATCAGCTCAATATTAGCTCCGAAATAATACCAAAACAACCCCAAAATGCAGCAGAAAAACGAAAATTAAAACCAAGAAAAACTAGCTCCAAAATGCCACCAACATTTCAGCCGAAAACTCAATGAAAACAAGTTGAAAATCGGTCCAAAACATAAAACAACAACATTAAAGGGGATTTATAACTTGAGTTTACCTTGACGAGAAGGAGAACGGAATCCTACTAGCATTGACACAGATACACCAGAGAAGACAGATTATAAGCTACGAAGCCCATATTTTTTTGTGATTATCTGTTGCGTTTTGCGCTGCTCTATATATAGTGTTAATTTCGGAACTTGTTCGCCGATTGAGTAGTGCCAGTTGCAGCGAGAGCCCTAATTGTTCGTGATTCTTTCCCTCTTCTTTGCTGAAGTCGTTGTGTGCGTGTTTTGGGATAGCAATTAGGCGAGAGATTGTAGGGTTTGTTTTGATAATTTGGGGGTTATGTGGGATAGTTGGTTAGAGAAAAAAAGGAGGGAAAAATTAGCGCGCATTTTTTCATTTTTATTCAGATTTAACGAGGGGATTGACACAATTTGAACGACCGAAAATAATCCCCTCGTAAAAATTACAATAAAAAATAACTTAACGACCAGAATAAATATTGGCCGCTATAAGTACACATATAACGACTGGATTAATTTTCTTTCGTGAAAAAGTGGTCGTTAAAGACCTATTTTCCTGTAGTGTGTTTATCCGTGAAGGAAGTAGTGTGCAGGGAGTAGGAATTTGTTTGGTTGCACTAAGGCGGGGGTTACTTCTTGGGTGATTGTGTGCTAATAGGGAACATGTCATTCGGTCTGTTTGGTCGGTTTAATTGAGATTTGAGCGGAGTGGAAGACTCTCGAGAATGGTTCTAATGGATGCAGGATTTAAATGTAGCAATTGGGAATTTCAGGATTTATATATGGCTAGAAATTGAGATTTTCATTGGAGGGTGCGAGACCCGCAGTATTTCTATATCATTATAGATTCTACATATCAGTATCAGAAAGGTGAAGGAAACAATTTTAGGTTCGCATAAGGTCTCTTCAGAACGGGTATCTCGGTTGTGGTACATTTGGGGTGCTTAAGAAGGGATGCAGTAGTATATGGGCCTTAGGGCAGTGTAGCTGTATGATAAGGTATAGTGTAGTGAGTTTTGGTTGAGGAAAATGGTATTATGAGCGAGGAGAAGTATCTACTTGAGGGTAATTCAGAAAGGAACTCGGAGAATAGGGCAGCTTGGTAGCGGGTTGGATCAGCATGGAAATGGATGTAGTTGGCTCTTTTGGTCCTTATGACGTGGTGAGTCTCTACGGGTGGTTCGTGGCAATTCTCTTTGATTTTGGTGACCCGCGTAGCTTGGTTGAACTAAAGGGATTCGGTTTTGATAGTTTGGTTATGTGCAAGTGGATTCCAAAGAGAGCTCAATGGTTTCTACCACGGTTCGAGGTGTACATTTTCTACTGGTGTGTGGAACATGTTTATGTTGCGTATTGTCATTTTCTCCTGGATGAGATCAAACGGAAGGTTCTTGGCTAATTGAGTATGTAGTTTGCTTATGACTCAAAGTTGATTTTGAGATTCTTGTACTTTTCATATGATGGCATAATAGGTGTGGTGTGTTATGTAGGATTGAGATTTGCATGTGCAAGGTCACAATTCGGTTTTGAAAGGAAGGTCCAGAATTCTTAGGCAGTATAGACAGTTTCAGATGACTAGGTAAATGATATTACTATATGGTATTGCCTGAGTAGAGTGTACCTTTCAGTAGGCGCACTGTGTTTTGATTTATGGATACTTCATTGGTATTGTGGCAAACTCTCCCGGTTGATCAACTCCTGATTTTCAGATGTTGCTGTGTGGCACGAATGAATTGGAGAAGTATTCCTCGTGGGATGATTTTGTATGAGAGATATATTAGACATTCAGGCGGTGGAGTCGGGATCAGATATGGTGATTCGTTGTTCTATGGATTTGGAGTCTGGGAGTTCTCAGGAACAGATTTTTTCATGGTTGTGGACTGTGAAAATGTGGCCTAGTTAGTCAGATGATGGTTGTCGCGCCTCCTTTTTTCTTGCGAAATCGGGTTTATGACAACTCCTTCCTTTTGGAAAGGGGGTTTGCATTTTTGAAGAGTCGCCACCTAACCATTTAAGGTGCGTTAGGGCACCTATAGGGTTCATTTATAACTACGTTTGGTAACCAGAGACAGGGTAAAGGCTTGAAATTATCCCAAGGGGAAGGTGTTAGGCACCCCTCAGGATCCACTAGTGTGGTTCCCGGCCAAACAGTTTTTGTGAATTTGTACAATTAGCAAATAAACAAGTACGGCTCAAATAGTAGGGGATTTAAGTTTCAATACACAGGTGTTTGAATAACGATTAGTGAAAAGCGAGGTTTTGAAAAGAATTACAATCGAAGCATACTTGTGAATGTAAAGGGGTATCCTAGGTTTGTTTGTAATATGGATCAGTATTAACGCATCGGTCATCATCCATATCTACCCTTTACTGTCCCGTGAAGGTAATTAAAGCGAGGGTTGGTCTCGACCCCTATTGCATGTTGTTACCCGTCCCTTCCTATCAGGCTCAGAGGAGTTTAGGACTCGCATCCTATAGGGGGGGGGGGGGTTCTAGGCAGACCCTCAAGTTTAAAGGTAAAATACTAAGGCGATATATAATAAACAAGCAGGACTCAATTAAGGGGAGCATGGAAGACAAATGAAAGGCTCAGATATACCTCCAAACACAGAACACATAAACAGCATGACTCATACACAATTAAGGTCTGAATTCAGATCCTAAGCATGGTATCTAAGTGATAACACCAGAG